ATATGATGAACTCTGCATTATTAAGTGATAAGAACAAGTAATCTGATGTCCTGTAATCATTGTGACGCTAGGATTTGAGATGCAATAAATAAAATACGTTTTTGTACAAAGTATCGGTATCGGATCAGTATTGTCGATACCACCCTGAATATTACTTGGTATTGGATCGGAAAGAAAATCAGTGGTATCGCACATCACTACAAGACAGTTCAGAAGGGGCCAACTGCGTGGGAAGTGGCGGCGGCGGAGACGAAGTAGGTCAGGAGGCCGACTGGGTGGGAAGTGGCGGCGACAGCAGAGCAGGTCTGGAGTCCACCTTTCTAGGGTATTAAGTGTGAGTCTTCGCCATCAAAGCGGCTGGTGTTGACATGACTTGGTGAATGGACGTGGACGGGCAGGTGTTAGGAATAAAATGAGTGCGATGAGCACACATTGCGATGTGCTCATTAAAGAGTTGGCGCTCTGTTTTGAGGGTCAAATCTTCACTCAGCGCTTTGACTGAAATTGAATTATCTTGATTAACACGTAGAGTGCAGAGGGTTTTTGCAACACGCTTACACATCGTACTGGGCTGAGGGTGTCCGAACAGAATTTCTCAAACTTAAATAACAAATAGAATCAGTAGCATAATATTAATAATCAAGGCTAGTCAGGGAGGCGGCTTCTGTTGTTCCAGGAAGAGGAGCAGATACGAGGTGAGGTCAGACGTGGACGGAAAGAGGAGAAGATCCGGCAGGGGGACAGCAGGACTGAAGAAGATAGTCATAATAATACATTTTATTGTTGTGGTATAAACTTTATGGCGCGACTTGAGGCAGGTAATGGCTGAGCGGGCTCACGTGAGCCTCCAGCTGAAACAGGAGGCTGCAGGGGCTCGGCTGAGGCGAAACAGGGCCAGCAGGTGCAGAAACCTCTGAATGAAGCAGAGCTATCTGGAGCTGTGCAGGGCACACAGCTGGCTCAGGATGCAGCAGCTGGGGCTGCGCAGCACATGCAATCTGATCGGGATGGCTGGCTGGATGAACTCGCCTAGCTCCCAGCTGACGGAGGAGGAGAAGAAGGCTGCACTGCCTCCAGGAGTGCAGAGCCAGCTGAGGTCACAGGCTCAGCCTCTGGGGGGAGTTTCAGTTTCTGAGGAGCCCAATTTCACAGTCACACAGTCTCAGAATAAACAATCTTTGGAATTATTATTCCAGACCAGGGAGGAGTGGGAGTAACACAGTTCTTTAAGTCCTTAGAGCAGATGATTCTGTCTCTGAAAACACAGACTTTAAATTTCCAGGCTCAGGGGAAATGTAATCAAAGGTCGGAGAAAGTCCACTACAAAGAGGAAGCCGGAAACCAGGCTTTGTAGCCGGCTAGCTACAATCTTTATGACCACGACGGTATTCCTTATTGGACCTATCCAGCCACTGATCGCACAGTAAATCCACTGTGTGAATCAAGTCTTCCTGGAGCTCCTCACAAGGAGCGAGTGCTGGGTCCATGTTGTGGCCAGATTGTTCTGACACGTCTACGCTGGCAGAGTGTGGAGTGTGGAGGACCCAAACGCAAGCACTGGAGATGGAACAGAACTTGAACTGAAAGTGAGCCTTTGTTATGGCGGAGCAGAATACAAACAAAGCCAAATGTGACAATGACTAAACTAGCAAAACCTAAACTGGGAGAAATGTAAAAAACAAGTACAAGGAAACTAAAGACCTGAGAACCTGAGACATGGAAACCTGGAGCATGGGAAACACGAGACGTAGAAACACAAGGGGAGATATGCAGATAATCCGGCAGCAAATAGAGGAAGACAAACGGCTTAAATACACAAAGGGATAACGAGGGAATGAGACAGGGGAGGACAGCACAGCTGGGAGTACTCAAACATAACGAGACAGGGAGGAAG